GTTGTTTGTTATTTGAATATGATTACATATTTATTATTCATTTTTATTTAAGGTTTACTGCATCCACATAGAATTGATGTTTTTGAGGATTACATATATGGAGCAGGCCCTAAAAATGGTGCATTTAGAGTACACAAATTTGGCAGGAGCCTTGTAGAATATCTAAGTGTGGATGTTGATAAAGCAAAAAGTGCCTTGATTTTTCACCGCTACAAACAAATGGACTGTGAGTAAGCATGATTACTTTAAACTCAATATTGAGCAAGTTGGGGGGAGGGGGAAGAGGGGAGGAAGTGTAACCAAGTTATACAAATATAAAACAGAGCCTGATTGCACAAACTTTATAGAAGTTTAATTTAGATTTTTGGATGCATATTCACTCTTTTGAAAGGACGTTGGAAAAATGCTTGTCCTGTATACCCACATTGTAAATGAGGTATAAAAAGAGTAGAAGAGAGCTGAATGCAAATGCTTCTAGCCACAACCCTGTGAGCTTTTTACCAATACATTTTTGTTACTGGAATAAAAGCTATCCTGGTGTGTATCTTGCACAGCCATTTGAGTGGTTGTGTTCACTGACTTCAGGCTGTTGATATCCTGGAAAGTGGAAGTGTATCAGAATAATTATCTGATTATTTTTTCCTAGCCCTATAACACAAGGTAATTCTAAAAAATGTATATGTATATTTTAATAATGTCTTTTTTTAAACAGTGCCTAATCCATGCTTGGACCTGACATGTGAATTCATTTGTTTGCTCAACCCTTCTGGTGCGACATGTGCGTGTCCAGAAGGAAAATCATTGGTGAATGGAACATGCATTGATCAGACCCTTTTAGGTAGGTATTGAAAACTGCATGGAAAACAGTAAATAACCAAGTGGTCAGGACTTGTCATTGCAAAGGCAAAGACAGACTAGGGTGTCTGCATGTCAGGACTTTTGTGATGTTGTTCAGCACACATATTACTTATCTGAAATGGAAAGGAAATACGAAGAAATAAAATCCCTAATACAGAAAAACCCTGTTTATATTCATCAAAATGAAAAATGATTTTTCAGCTGAACTGATACAGGATGTTTAAATATGAATGTGTGTATATATTGACCAAAAGAAGTTTGAAAAGTCTGAAGCGCTTTGGATTCCAAATTAAACGTTAGCCATCCAGGAGGAAAAATAACTTGAAAGACCATCAAGAAACATGTCTATTACGCAAAAGGCAGTAATAGCAGCATAGCAAATAATAATGACTTTGAAGTAATAGGCAAAAAACAGGGAGAAAAAAAAAAAACCCAACGGAAATATATTTATCTAAAATTATATCTTTCAGTAACATCTAATAATGACTAATACCAAGACACAGGAAACTAGAATTCGTGTTAAAAAAGCTACTAAATTATTGCTATATTTTAGGGAGGAGAAAAAAATATCTTCTTTTCCATGAAAGATTAGTAAGTACTCTAAAACTGTTCCCACTCTAATTGAGGCCAGACCTAAGGTGGTCAGACAGCTGGAGTTAATTCTTAGCCAGCTTGAATTTTAAAAGGTTTCAGAAATCAAAGAATGGGATTTATTTGGTATGAAAAGTCAGAATGTTTTTTCTAATGTTTAATTCCAGGCTTAGAAGTGTGATACATATTTCAGTGAGATCCTCAGTACTTAAAATGCTCAATTTAGCAATTAAATTAATTCACCTGAAATGTCGTCATTCTGTGGAGAAAATCTCACCTATTTATACTGTTCAGGCTTTCAATATTGGATTAATACAACTATGGTTTGGTGTTTTATGATGAGCTATTAATAAAGCTATCGTGTCTAGCAGCATTTCTCTTTCTGTGTCAATAATTTAGAGAGTAAAACAATATTAGAAAACAGTTCCTAGATAACAAACACATTCATGTGTTTTGTTTATGGAGGAGGAGATTTTGCACAATGCATTTACAGTGCCAACGTCAATATGCACTAGACCATGCCCTAGCAAAACTACAGTAAATGTAAGCTTTATTGCTGCACACCCTTGGCTGAATGCCTATTACGTGTATTTATATAAGAGTTATGCAACTATGAAGTAGTCTATTGCTGGTTAACAACGATTTCCACTGTTAGGGGACAAGTGATGTCACCAAAGTAGATGTAATAGAAAACTTTAGCATACACTACAAGGTTTCTGACTCTTGAGACAAATCATTCTAAACACCCTTTGTCTTCAGAGAGTATCCACCCTCTCTGCCCCTCCAAGTGTCATCCCTTTGTTCATCTGAAAAGGATACTTGTGTTTTCTGCTGACACAGTACCACCTAAAAATTATCTCAAATAACCCATAGTTACTACTTAAGTTTATAAGAAAGGACAAATAAAAGAATATTGTTTTTCACTGATGATCGGTAGCAATTTGAAACTGTAATTTCAGTGATGCTATGGTTTTACTAGTGGGGCAAAGGATTATGTCATGGTAGAGTTTTCAGGAATGTATGTTTTTATTAGAGAAAGATCTAAGGAGGCTTCTAAATTCTTTCACTGCTGGTTGTAAATTTTTATGGATATACAGGAAATGCTTAGAGAATCATTTTGAATATATTGATAATTTTCAGTATCTTCCCACAACTGCAATATCTGTTACGCATTTTTAATGTTCTGCTGAATACATGGTTTTTAGATTTCTGACTATAATTGTATTTCAAGTAATGTCTAGCATAGGCTTTTTTGTACATTTTTTTTCTTGTATGTTCTTTTTGTAATGGTAGATTGCAGGTTTTGTAGCCTCACAAATTATAAATTATTAATTGAAACAACCTCAGTACCATAGCACACTAACAAGTGTATCTTCTTATACTCCTCTGACTCCTAAAAAAAGTATGAAGTGGATGTTAAATATTTGTCTCATGCTGACACTCTACTCAGGCTTCCCAAGGATCAGCAGAGATTTCTGGAAAGATCAATTGACTTCAAGATCAACATCTTAAATTAATACATGTTTATAATCAATGGATGGCTGACAACCCATTTGACATTAATAGGTCGCAACTGGCCTGCAAAAAAAAGACAAGTTCTAAACCACATTCTTTTCTTTTAGGAAGTCATACAGTATGGAATAGTAAAAATAAGAGCTGTAGTCTTCCTTTCCTTTTCTGATGAGGAGCTAGAAAATGTATATGAAATACTCCAAATGGCACACATTCAGGTGGTTAAAATCTAGCATTATATTGTCTTTATTGTCTCAGAGCATTTTTGGCAGAGTTATGGATGTCATTAATCCCAAACAGCAATTCCTGCCTTACATGGCTGTCAAAACCTTTGTGTTTCAGAAGAGTGACCTGCTATCAATCCAAAGAGAGGTTATATAATCTTCTTTTTTTTTTATTTGTTGGTCTGCAGTAAAATCCTGACTCAAACTCAGTTGAAATATTCGTATTGATTTTGGTGATCTGGTTTTGTCCTTAGAAGAATGAAATCCAGAAATTTTAAGACATGAGTATCTGTGAAACGTTTTTAACCGATGTATTTTTTTGGTTTTGTTACTGATTTGATCACAATGCAATAGCTGTGCAGTGGATAGGTTACAATGATTTGCATACATTATATTTTATGTGTTCAAAAATACACTACTGCAAACTTACAGATCTGAAAGCTCAACTTTTTAAGTCTCTTTTAGTGGATGTTATTCATGTAGTAATAAGGGAGGTGTACTTGGGGTTTTTTGTACTTACACAGTAGCTATTTCAAGTCATGTAAGAAGTGTTTTAGTTTCATTAATTAGTGTTGATATCAAGAGCTAGTGTGACTAAATTGTACTTTTTGTATAATATACAGTTCAAGTTACAATAGTAAACAGTAATGTATTGAACATTCATAATATTTTTTTAGTCCTTTAAGTGTTTTGGGTCTCTTAAAATATGGTAAGGAAGCTAGCAGTAGATTTCCATGACTTGGCTGTCCCATTTTGACTCTGTCAAATCCATTTCCTATCCGTCTTGAATAGTGCCCGCAGGAGAGTCAATATTTGAAGATTCTGTTTTGACAGTGTGTATGTGTCTATCCTTGTGAAAAATACCTTCCAACAAATAATTATTATTTTCAGCTTTATTATGCCATTCTTCATTTTGGTACTTGTTGGCATGACTATTGTAAGGACACCTTGCACACTTTGTACAGTTTCCTATTAGTCAGCCTACATTAAGGTTGGTGACTGGGAGGTAATCTGTTTTGCTCTGTTTCTTGTGACTCTATCCCCAAAACTGACTCAGATTCTCGTTCATTGGATTTTGAGGATTTTTTTTTTTTTTTTGGTTAAAGAAAATTGAGCTAAGTCTTGAAACTCTGCATAATATTACTACTGGTTTCATCCATTGAGTTGATTTTTCTTCATAAGTCTACGTGAGGAATTGTAAATGTTGAATCCTCCATGGTTTTCTGTAAGACTGAATCCAGCTTGCTTCAGACAGCTGTTTCACCAGCATCTCGCGCAACTGATGAAAAACAGCTTTTGGGTTTGATTTGGCTTTTTCAAGCTGGAGTTATTACAACACGTTTGTTGTATCATTCAGAATGTTTTTATAGCAAAATGAAAGCAAGTTCCCGTGTGTTCTTAGATAAGCTTCCATCTCATTTCTCCCTAGATGCTTATGATTGACAGAGCACAGTTCTTTTGTGGTTTATTTATTGACTATCACAGGCCTGACTTTTTTTCAGTTTAGACGCTACCCTTTTAGTTTTCAAATGGATAGAGTATCACTTCATTTTCCTAAAAGAGACCACTGGATTTGTGCCCATTAGGTTTATTGTATCTAATTGTCTGTAGCACAATGAAGCTAGAAACGTACCAAGAGGATGAAAATACAGAGACTGGCACTGGATGAAGGCACTCTGTGCCACAGCTGAATGAGCAAGAGTAGTGAACGCTACCAAGAATTCCATGATCTGCAGCTACTCCCTTATCACTTTCATTTTAAGAAAGGAATATTTGTGCTGTCTTGGCTGGATGAAAAGCCTGAGAAAAATTACAAAGCCTCAGCCCTGATGTTACTTCTGAAGAGAGATGAAACATTTAATTTATCATGGTGTTTCCTTCAGCACATTTCTGTGGGGACTTGCCCACTGCACACATAGATTGCAGGCAGACTAAGTGCTTTGGCTGGGGATGTAGAGGTTAATCCCTATATCCCTTCTTTTTTACCCACAAAGTCTGCCCTCAGGGAGCTGTACTAGCGAAAGCTGTGGCAGTTCAATCCATGCTATCTTCTTGGGTTTTGTCCTGCTTTCAGTCCTGTTATATTTCAAATAGAACAGGGGTCATGTAGAAAACTGCTTCTGGTTTGAAAAAAAATCTTTGTTTACAGCAGTTATCTTCCATATTTACAAAGGGGTTACTGTTGGGACTGGTATTTCCCAAAACAGAAAAAAAAGGGTTACATTACAGCAGGTGTCATTTTTTTCTCACTGAACATCCTTTTCTTAGCCCTTGTCTTCCATTTAAAATTGTCAAGCAAATAGATTTTTAAAAGCTAAAAACTTGTGAAGGGAAAGCAAAGAGGAGGCTCTGTCACACAGCATTCAGACAAAACTTGGGTATTATAACTTGTTCTGATAAATTTCAGCATACGGAAAACTATCGGATAGTAAGATCCTCATCTGGGGGGACAGGAAGATTTATACAACCTTACCGTCGCATTACAACTCTTCACTCTGTCTTTAGTACATCCATTCAGCTCAGTAAAGGATGAGCTACATCCTTGTTTGAAGGATAGGCAGGAACAATAACTTTCTGCCCCATGAGATGAGTATTTTCCTCTGTGGGGAGGAATACTGCTCCTGCCCCAGAAAATGTAGTTTATCAACCTTGT